GGTTATGGATTATCTGGCCTCGGTCACTGACCTCCAAGTTTTTGGGTGCGTCATTGACTTTTTACACACTACCACGCAAACCTACCTAGAGGACCCAATCTGGGATAAGTTGCAGCAAGGTAGAGAATACACCATAGTCTTCAGGGACTGTAGTGTTACCCTGCCAGAACAAGAACAGCTCGGTGGTTATCCTATTGATCAAGTCCCCTTAGCTGTTCATGTCCCAATGAACTCAGAAGAAACTGTCCCAGAATGGGCCTTTGCAGGTGTGCCACGCTTGCGACACGTTAGCGTCGAGTCAGGGATCAGGCTCATTGGTGCAGAGGCGTGGCAAGATTGTCGGCAACTCCGCATTGTCAAACTGCCGGCCACAGTGGTAGGCATTGCAGATAATGCCTTTCGGGACTGCAAGCTCCTAAATAGTGTCTTGGCACCGGGTTGTCGTGACTTTGGTTACAAAGCCTTTTCGGAATGTTGTTCCTTGCAGCGTGTGTATGCATCGGGTGGAGCTGTAAACGTGTTCAATGGGGAAACCAATTTCGGGCAATACCTCTTCCAAGGGTGCGTCAACCTTGCAGAGGTCACCGTGAGTGAGTTTCCATCCCCCCGATCTGAAGTGAACGGGTTAACCCTGCAAGACAGGGCCAGAGAGCTGGCTCCGGGCTGCCTCAGCTCTACAGGCATCTACGCACTTGCTCTCCCAAAGCACTTTGTAGCCATAGGAGCGCACGCTTGTGACAGTTGTCGACTGCTTAAGAGTGTTGACCTCTGTAACACCATGATTGAAGAAATTCCGGAATTCACTTTTGGCCACTGCACTAGCCTTCGGGAAGTCTTCCTACCGACAACTCTCCATACAATCCGAGTTAAAGCCTTTATGAGCTGTACAGCCCTTGTTGAGCTTGCCATTCCGCCTGCTCTCAAGTATATTGGAAGTAGGGCTTTCCTGGACTGCACTGCCCTTCGGAGGCTGGTCAAAATGCCCGGAACACGCAGATGGCGAGGGGTTTATGCTGAAGAAAATGCCTTTGCCATCTGTCCGGCCATGAAATGGCCACCCTGGCTGCATATGATCCCAGACATGGGCTACACCCCTGGTTTAGGATAGAGGATCATCCCTCCATCCACAGCTGTCGTGGCCCTGCTATCAATTTTGTTAGAGTCTGGGTGCGAGCCTTAGCTCGGGTCCGGAGTAGGTCAGCAAATGCGAAACAGTACTCCTCAACACGAGTAACTAACCATAGTTGCCCTCCGTCATGCATGGAGGAAGTGCCCAGAGGCTGTCGGATAGAGAAGGGTCTCGGCGTGGCGGTGATGTCGACAACTGCAAATCGTCCACCTGCCAGACACAGTAGTCGGTCACTGATGTAGGTGTTAAGTGCTACGGGTTGTGGTCGCCCCAAGATGCAAGTTCTTCGGCGCCTTAGCATTCGATGACCTATAGCGCAAACGACCTTTGGCGAGAAAACTATCTAGACCCAGCCTCAACGAAGCTATGCTTCAGAGGCAGAAGAGAAGCAAGAGCGACGTGAGCAGTGAGTTGAGCCAAGTGCCAGTTTTCGAGCGTTAGAAAAGGAGGATTTCCAGGCATATACGGCAAGCAAAATGCACAGACACCAAGTAGAACCATGACCTCTTCTCGCCATCCGCTGCGAAGTGAGCCGATAGGAGCGAGAACCTTAGTTCTGCGTTCCTACACGGCGGGTGGTAGATAGTGGCAATGAAGGATGCCCAGGGGGAACCTTAGTTCCTGCTGTTGATGTCCGACATTTCCAATTTTGTACAAAGAGGTACAGATATCATGCTAGGAGAGCTCAATGTTTCACAGGTTTCACACGGGCCTTGCACGCACCTCTCACTTTTTGCCATTTCGCAGCGCCTCACAGACTCAAGTGACATCCCCTTTTGGCACCGTTGAGTGCCGAAGGGTGTTGGGTCTGCCTCCCCACGGGGAGGTGGTGCCCGGTTCACCCTTAGCTGCAGGCTTCTCTCGCTAGGAATTGCCGCCGTGTTTGAACTCTGTCTGGCAGCATGTGACTGGTCTTGTATGCGCCACCGGTTGAACGGGTTGCGCTGCAAGTATGGTCTCTTCCACGGATTGCTGCTTAGATCTTCGCACATTCGGTTGGCCTGATTACAACCACTGCTGGAGCATTGCGAGACACCTGACCTGCAAAGTGACCTTGTTTTGCCACACTGTGGTGTGGCCGCTGGTCACCAACACTTGGTAAGGAAAGTCCGTTTGAAGCCTCCTAGGCGGCTTTCCATGAACACAGCTTGCGCTGCAGTCCTTTTCTTTTGCGAATTCAGGCCCATTAGTTGCCACTAGTCTCAGTTTCACACGTTTCACCTAGTGTAGAGGGAAGACTACAAGATGGTGGAGTTTCGGCCTGCGGGCTTGGGTGTTTGGTTTGGGTTGGTTTTGGGGCTTTCGTTCCTTTCTCCACCATCTGTCTGTTCTTCCCTTCCTTCAACGATGACCTGGGCACCATGCCCACACGGCGTCCGTACTCGTGGAAAAAAAAGCAGTGTTTGGCTGTGGCACCTGCTACCTTGACTGCCGTTTCTGCATTAGCAGTCTTCCAGGCAATTTCAAAGTTTTGGGCTGCTTCACGAGTGGTTGTGAAGGCCAATATGCCTTCATTTCCCGCCCCTGCTCTTGTTAGCTCATCTTCGAGGTGCTGGTGGACCTTTACCGTGGGGTTGTTCTTGGGCTCCTTTCTTGCATCTATATTGTCCCAGGGGTCTTGCGACATAAGGCTCGAAAAGGCAAGTGCAGTCTCCACCAACTAAGGTTGGCAGTTGCACTGGCAGGCGCGAGCGAAGGGGCAGGTGACTTGGGTGACGTCAGCTAAGGCTGACCCCACTCCTGCGTGGTTCCAAAACCAGCTTGAGCCAAAGTGGCTACGGTACCTGCGCAAGTTCGAAGCCGCTTCTGAGCGCTGCCAACCTTAGTTGGTGGCCTCAAATCTTTTGACTGCTGCAGCTAAAGATGCTAACGGCTAACCGCTATGCCTATGGTCGGACTCGAAGCAGCGGACGCGCATCGTGAGAACTTGTAACACAAATGAACTTGCGTTCGACTCTGTAACCAGTTGACCTGGCCTAACACAGAGCGGAAAGCAGTATGCATTTGAGGATTACAAGCAATGTTATCTTTTTTATGTTTCTCAAACTTGATTTCCTCAACAGCATCTACAGCAAGCTTTTGGTCACAAGAGATGTACGGTCCATGCTTATCATGAGTCTTCCATTTGATGCGCTGACCAACAAATACGATGTCATTCTTGTCTTCCGAGCCAATGTTGAAGTCCTTATAACGAATGCTAGCGAGCACCCTGTCTGCAAAGACCTTGTCTCCGGCCAGGAACAAGTCATCCACATGAAGACACATGAAACCATGTGGCTTCCGGCCTTGTGCATTATTCTGTGCTACAGGGTCTAGCAGCATGTCAAGGGCTTCTTTAACAGGCTCAGTGGACGTAGACGTCTTTCGGAAAGACTTGGACAATGAGGAGTCCTTGGATGACATCTTGTCGCCGTACAAAATACAGGCGTCGGCGCGAGTTGGCACGAGTCCATAGCCAAGAAGTGCCTTATCGACAACCTGCCACCATCTGCGTGGTGCATCATTCAGACCGTACGCGGACTTCTTCATCTTTGCTGCTATGTGTGGTGGATATCCGCATTCGGACGGGATCTGGGAAATGATGTCTCTAGATTCATCATATGCCTCGCCTTGTAGGAAGGCGGTCTTCAGGTCCATGTGATATAGATCCCATTGGCAATTTGCTGCAAACTGAGTTGCACATCGAAAACCTGAACGACTGGCTGCAGGACTGTCGGTTTGCTGGGTATCCTTTTGTTTGCACTCAGTGCGTCATGACCACAAAGAGGCGATCAGTGGTCAGAGAATTCTGGAGGCTGCAGGCTTTTGACGCCTTGTCGAACTTCTTTGTCTCCTGTTCAGCCAGACACTCCTGTTGTTCCTTCCTCCTCATGTTCCTGATGAGCAGATGATTTTAAAGAGTTTTCTTTGGATCCGGGTTGTGAAAATGATCCGGGTTGTGGGGTTCCAGCCTTGCTTGGAGCTTAAATTGAAATTGCCAGCTGGTCTGATGGCTTGACATAATAAGCACAGGTGCCGGGTTTTTTGAGCTTGCAGCACCAGATCTGGACTTAGACTTGTTCACGGATAACAGGATTTGACTATGAGACATGAGGAGAAATGAGTCCTTTGACTATCTTTCGGTTCCTTTAATTATAATATTCAAGATTTCCAGAGCACCAGTTCTGGAGCCCTCACAATTGACAGCGCGCTCGCGGCGCACTCCAGTAAATACTCACCACCCAACAACAGCCAGCGCTACAGGTTGCACAGTGTGTTTTGGTGGCAGCACCCAAGGTTCCAGAATGCACCACTGCCAGCCCCAGAGATTGAAACCCAATGCTTGGCAAGCGTTTGACTCAAAGTATCAGGGCGTGAGCTAGTCGGAATTCACACTACTACACTTGCTCTTGTGGCAAGCATGCGTTTAATTTTTTTGCGATAACCTATTATTGAAAACTCATAAAGCAAGCCTCCACAACCCCTACGGTTCACCCTGGGACTGGTTGCTTTGCGCTTTATTGACGGCTTTACATTCCTCTCTTCTTGCGATGCTGCAGCGTGCGTGCGCACATTAAAGTTTGTTTTAGCCCTGGTCCAGTTGGTCAGGCAAGTTTTATCCAAACACAATTTTTTCATTTAGACTCCTACACATTTCCGATTACATTACAAAACAAAAACGAAGCAAAGCAACCAACACCTCGACTCGACGCTCCATTTGTCGTTTAACCGAATCAAAATCACAAAATACCCGGACCAAACTCTGGATTGGAAATTTGGCGCCATATGACTTCAGCTGTCACTGCCTTTTTTCTCACCCCAGCCCATCGGCTTCAAGCTTTCGCTGGCCCCTTACTGGCACTGCACACACTCCGGCCAAGGTCAATGTCGCTCACTCGACATCTTCAACAACAGCATCCTGCGCACGCTCTTCCTCCTCCTCCCCTTCAGCAGTCTCTGCTGGGGGCTCTCCACAGCTTGCGCTAGCTGCTGGCTCAGCTGACTCAGGTCGGGTCTCGTCACCTGCGCTTCCATGACACACTTGACATGGACACCTGTTTGACCTGACATAAGTTCCAATACAGCCTTCACATTCGGCTGCCAGAACCTGGAACATAGTAGCCTCGTTCACAAGACTTCGATCAAAATTTCCTGCAACCCCAAATCAAAGAGAAATTGAGCACATCACTGCCACTTCGCGAGCATACTTCACCGACTTCCCATCCAGAAGAGCCTTCCTGGCAGTCTCCTTAGCGCTGAGTTGCTGAGTGTCTTGCAGAGAAAAGAAAACAGCAACGGCTTTGCACCAGTGGCCGAGCCCCTGACTCCAATCTCTTTCAAGCGATCAGGTTGCTTTTCGAACACCTTCAATGACCCAACCTTGATCCAGGTTAAACTCAAGCAACCGCGCCATGAATCCTAAGTGGAACTCGTGTTCAACGCTGCCTGAAAGGCTTCATGTCCATCAACCGCACAAGCGAACTTCCCCGATCTCTTGTAGAAACTCAATGAACTGACAGTTTTTTTCCCTGGCAATGGATGACTGGCAACAAGGTTTGGTCGACTCCATCCATCAAATTCAAAGCAGCACAAATAACATGTTGAAAAACAACTCGCGTCAGAAACGGCCTTCCCCCATAAGCCAAGAAGACGGGGCGTGCAGGTCCATTCGGGTGCGACTCTTTGGGGCTGCTTTTTTTTTTGGAGTCTTTTTGGGAGGCGTCGCATCAGGGGGCGCAGCAGCAGCAGGTCGCTTCATGGCGGTCGGTCCAGTGGGTTCAGGGATGGCAGTAGCAGCAGCAGGCTTTCGCAAAGCAGATTTGCGCTTGGGTTCAGGCTTGGCCGTGGTTTCATCAGCATGTTCAGCCTCCATACTCTGCTCTACAATACTCTGCTCTACGTCTGCGGGTCCCTCTTCGGCGGTCGCTTTTGCTTTTGCCTTGCTGGCGCCTTTTGGTGTTGCTTTTAACTTCGGAAGTGATTTGGCCTGTTGTTTTGCCTTGGCTTTTGGTTTTGCTGCAGGGGTGGGGGCAGGCAGTACAGGAGCACGATCGCCACCATCCTGACCAAGGGGCGGAACGCCGAGTTTACATAATAAACAATAAGATTGGGACAATTTGACAAGCATGTATTCTCACTCGCCTCTGAACCTGACAACTGATCTACAGGTGCAAAAACTCCCATCTTGGAAAGTGTTTTGACACACGAATGGCTGAGAGCAAAACTCCTGCGATTGCATGCAAAGCAATGAAAAAATGGCAAGTCGGTGACTGAATTCCTTTGCTTGGCTGGCCATTCTGCTAGAAGAGTCAGAGCTATGAAAAATAATAGTGTTGGATCAGAGATCCACGCACCCCAAGTTTTTGCATGATATTTCTCAATCAGACTTGAAGTCTCGGAACTGCCAGCATGTCTGGAAAAAAGTGGCAGCGAGCGGGCTCAGGTGAGCTTGCTCCAATTAAAATGGTTTTGGGCCAGCTCAGGTAAGCTTGGTCCAGCTCTTGGCTGGCAAGGTCAAGCGACCCAACACGTACACCTTCGGCTTCAGGCCGACGATTTTGGCTTTTCCAGCACCTGTCTGTAGTGAGACCTTCCGGGTAAAGGCGGTACACAAAATTTATTAAAATTTGGTTTACAATCACCGCACATCTTTTTTTGAACAAACCACGTGACATGCCTCCCACACCAACTTTGCGAAACGACCCTTCGGCAACTTGTCCATGTGGTTGACCCACAACGCACCAATCGAAGCATGCCTATAACCAAGAACGATGACGAGGTTTTGCTATTATTGAATAATCAATGCAACTCACTGAACATGTTTCAAAAATGCAGTCAAAACACTTAGGAGACTCTGACCCTTTCAAAGCATTCGGAACAAAGGTATTGCATTTGCCGGAGCGTGCAGGAGTCAGGGAATGGCGATAGGGCACAGGCAGCGGGTCTTTCCCCTCCGCAGCCTTGCCGAACAGCTGCGAAGGAAACCCAATCAAAGAAACGCATTGAAACAACCTGAGCAGAAAACACATGAAGCACGGACTTTCCTCTGGAGACATCCACGTATTCCACTATATAAATAACACCCCAACCGTTTACCACACATGGCTCACCTCATAGAGCTTCTTTGAGACTTCATGGTCAGCCAACTCAAATTCGGCCACGCCATGGACAACCGACATCTTGTGAACCAAATGGGCCAGCGACAAAGGGGTTTTGTCTAAGGACACAATCTGCAAATCGTCCGCGAACCGAAAGGGAATGCAAGCAAGCTCTCGCTCCCCTTGACCTGTCACGCCAACGCCAACCAATTGGTGATTCAAGAGGCTTAACCGTCAAACAAGCAGGGTATATGGAGAGCAAATGCTTGCCGGCCTGCGACGACCTTCTGGTCATACACACCGAGGTTAAAGCCACACAATTCGGAAGCCTCAAATTGGACCTCTGAGTCGCCCTCGTTCCCAACCCAGAGAGCAAAGTCAGCATCAATCACAATGGACGGCTTGCCACGCGAACCAGCAACATATCCCTTCCTGCAAGGTTCCAAACACGCACGTCAGCCAAAAAACTGGCGTCGAGTGACACACATTTCATAAAAACCATGATGCAAGAAACTACATAAAGGAATTGCCACACAACCCCCACGCCCCGCCTTGTCACAGAAAAGTCGGCCTCCTTGACAATGGCAGGGCGAAGCTCTTCAGTCAAATCAACTGGCACTGCGCCTCCATCAACTGAGAAATCCGGCTGGCCAGTTGCCCTGATAGTCCTCTGAGCCTGACTCCCTTTCCCTCCATCCGCACGTCCGGACCCCGTTGACGCGTCAGGGAATGCTGCCAGGAAGGTCTTCCTCATCTCAACGATGTGATTGTGGCCCGCCGTTCCTTCAGCAAATTTCTCCAGCAGGTTGGAAGGAAATCGCGGCGCATTTCCTGTCCAAGAAAGGAGCTGCAGGTCGGGATCTGGGAGTGGTTCAACTGCTCGGGCCTTTGGAGGAGACCCCGCAGCTGTGTCCCAATGTGAATAAATGAGCTGTTCAAAATCCGGAATGACATCCTTCTGCTCCTCTCGCAGGAATGCAATGTAACACACTTTGGGCTTGGCATCCGGTTCATTCAGCATCCGCGAAAGCGCTGCTCGCCCAAACTCGCAGTGCCTCCCACGAACTGTTCAAATAAAAAAACTGATTCATGCAATGACAGGTCAAACATGCAGGAAGGAGCATGACTGAATAGAGCGCTTAAGCCCGCCTGTTTGGCAGCAAGTCTGCCCACACCACAACACCGTTTTCAGGAATATCAACGCCGCGCGCATAGTTCTTGATGATGTGGAGATGGGCTGGCACTCCCTTCCTGCGAAACTGTCAAAGAACGGTCCGGTCGACAACCATATGTCTACAAAAGATACAACTGAATATATTCTTTAAAAAAAATATAGATATATAATATATATATATAGTTATCTATTTGTTCGGTATATTTACCTGACGATTGAGAAGAAGCAGTCTCAAAATGCCCTAAATGCTGATTGAGCTTCTGCTCAACCCTAGCTGAAGCGCCAGGCCGGGCGCCTGTCTCCGCGTCATACCCAATCATCTCGTTCACACGAATGAGGGGGACGTCTTGAATGAGGTTTTGCTGGGCCACAGAACTCTCAGCCCATGAGTTGGACTCATGCGTTGCGCTCGTCACCAGCAAGGCTGGCTGCACCAGCAAGCGCTTGTCCTGAGCCCCACAATTCGCCGGCTTCTGGAACATCAGCGCCACATCCTTGGTACAATCCAAATTACAATTGCACAAGCCGTCCTCCAGGCTCCGTCGATGCTTCAAAAGGGCTTGTGGCAGAGTCTGAGCCTGGATGACTGGCATTTGGAGGTGGGCAGCGTTTCGTGGGCTCATTGCCAAGATCGAATGGAGAGCCGTCATGCAACTTTGCAAGTGGGCAGCATTTGACGGCCACACCACACAGTCCACGCCCACCATGACGAACCTTATTTGGAGGTCTCTGCACCACAGACCCAAATCAAGAACGTTGCATTTGCGAGGACATGGTTGCGCGTGGCGATCCTTTCTTAAGGAACAAAGAAAGCATTGCTGCGACCTGCAACCTAGCAACACCTTGCCTGTGACGGACTCCTCACACTCCAGCCGAGAATGAAACTTGGCAAAATCGGCGAAGAAAGGCTGGCCACCCTGAACCACCACCAGCTTGCAGTTGGCCTCCATGAAGTCCTTGGTGTATTTCTGCCCTTTCCTCAGCTGGCGCAAGAGCAATGGACAAAACAGCTGCAACTCAGTTTTTCAATGATAGCCGCTGATAGCCTCGCAAAAAATGGTTAGTGCGAAAGACAAAGCCCTTGATTGAGCTTTGACGAGCTGCAACTGGCGGTCTGCCAAGTACTTTGCATCTAAAGCAGCTTCACGCGCCTGCTGCTCCTGAGTCGGAGTTCGGGACTTGAGGATCTCCATGTCATGGCTGAACTTGTGCTGAATTTGGTCGACGGTCGCTTGAGTCAACCTGTCTGCAATCTCTCGCTCTTTATCCTGCATCTCACGCGACCGCCGGACCTCCACAGCTTCCACAGTGGTTCTGACAGGGGGCAAGCCAACTTATTGTTTATATTAGTTTAGTGTTTTGCGACGCATGGCGCTAGCTAGCAAAATGTGTTTGGAATTCTTTACGTGGCATGCATTTCTTCAATAAGTGTCTCTCACCACAACCCATGTCCGCACAAATCGAACGTTCTTCAGCTGGATCGGTGGAACAGATCCCTCCAAGAATGCCAGTATCTCATGGTCCAGAACGCCAAGAGAGAATTGGCTCTTGATCTCAGGCTCAGCTGCTGTGAAATCAGCCGCGGGAACGTTCTTTTGAAAGCTTTCCATGATCCCCAAATAGCCTCCACAGGCTGCGTGAATCACGCTGGCATCCTTCCACGTAAAGGCTTTCTTCACACCAACTGGAAGTCTATCCCAATCCCCCTTGAGACGCTCCAGAAAAAGGCTGGCCTGGGCTGTCTTTTCACGCGTTGAAGCGAATGACAGCACACAATAAGATCATATGAAAACCAATATCGCCCTTAAAGTTTTGTGGCAATGACTCATCAATTTAGTTCTTTGGCAGAATCAAGTCACAAGTTCGTTGTTCTGTCCGTTTGTCAAATAAGCGGACCATTGCTCCAAACCAGCAACTTGGGAGGTGAACGATGTATTGAAAATGCCTTTTGAAAGAAGGTCGTGGGTGACAAAGGATCTCATGCCCCGGGTCCTTGTTGCCGACTTCAACTCATCCACAATGTCGTGGTGGATTTTGCTCTGCAGGGCCACTATCGCTTCTGATTCCAGCTTTCCTACATTGAAGGCGCGGGCCACCTTGCCTGCGTCGTTCCATTCCTTGCAAAAGCTGTGGACAAGACATGTGGCTGCACATGACATTACAACCCCTTTCGGATTCCTGCTAGGCTTAGGTTGTAACCTCTTTAGGCACAGCATCTTGTCCACACCGGAAATACCACCATCTCCAACGCTACAAAACAAAAAAGATTGGGCTTCAATCTGAAAGTCTGTAAAGTCTGCAGCTTCACCGGCTTTACCCAGAACTTCGAACTGACGGAGGAAATTCATGGCGTTGGGCGCCTTTCTTGTGCCCGTGGTGGCCATGGTCACACCTGCCCGAGCACACAAGCAGAAGCTATGAAGAAGTGACAACTCTGAAATGGATTGCCTCGGGCAGCAAAAACGGCAGCTTTGGTCGAGTCATATGCGCCCACGGTCGCGTGGATGATTTTCAGAGAAGCCTGCTGAACATAACCAGTTGAAATCAACTGACATGAGCCAAGTTCAAATCGCAATGTTGTTCTTTGGAAACCGTCAAAGCACCCAGACTCTCCACAAAAAAATCTGCGAAAGTGGAATAATGACACGTTTTGGACAATTAAGGATCCTTAAAGTTGTCGGTCAGCTCATCCAGCTGGATATCCAGACTCCGCACCCCTTCACAGCATATCAAAGCTGCAAGGCTGCGGCGCCAGCCCTTGATGTATGCGACCCCAAAGGGCCTGATGCTGCTGTGGCCTTGGCGCTGACTTTAAAACATGTGGCTCATGAGGAAATATATAATGACATGGGGATGGGGTGATTGAGCGGCGGACCATCTTCCTCATCTGCTGGATTGAGAGGTGGCAAAGGCTTGTACTTGTCTTGGAGCCAGGCGTCTGTGATCGGCCAAATGGCCAACTTCTCAGTCCCCGGATCATTGGGGTTTGTGCGAAACCTGACAGGAAGTAGTTGTTGCGAAACGGGAGTCTGGCAAACATCAAAAAACGACAATATGATCAATTCAGGCAACCCCTCACTCAGCACCAACTCCATCAACACCGTCATATCAAAGGGATCACACATCCCCGGGAGTCCGAAATCTGTACGGAATCCCAATTGCCACACCCTCAGCAGTTTCCCACCCACTGTGAAGTCCACGCTGTATTCCGTCCTGCCAAGTCTTCAGGGCCCAATAGTGAGTCTACCCGGCAAACAACAAACTCTTCAGACAGGACGGGAATGGTCCTGGGATCGGCCGGGAATGTGTTCTCCAGCCACCGAGCGAATCCGAAAGCATCTGCCTGACAAGATCGTGATTGAAATTCATCTCTTTGCATTCGACGTTAACTAACTACAGCCTGCTTCTGATATTTCTGCATCAAATAGCGGTCCGGCCCGCCAGCCGGAACAACGGTGGATTCAAACCTGGACCAACCAGCGTCCACTTGACACTCACTATGTAGCACGGTAATGAAAGCGATCATAAATCTCAAACTGCATGTCACTGTAATGGAATCTAGCAACCATTCAATGATCCTGCCAATGTGGGGGTACTTCTCGACATTCCCTGAAGGTTTCTCATTCGATTTGCGACGCTTCTGTGGCAAAGCCAAGCCCATCGTGGGGCGCTTGCCCATGGCTTCCCCCACTTACCAAGTATGAGCGACCCACACGCACGCGAAAAAACTGACGGCAGCGTGCAAAATTCACAGAATTGCAAAACACGCACCAAGCAAACACGGTGTGAGTGAACAAAGCATGTGCTCCTTGTTTCTCAAAACGTTATCTCCGGCACTATAGGTTCGTCTTGGCCGCACACATCGATTGGCCTGCCAGAAGCAGGTGAACAGCGAACAGCACATGAACCATCAACATGACCATGTCAGCGCCCATGTACTTGCCTACTGGCTGGCTGCTCAAAAACCGTGCAAAGGCTTCTTTTTCCAAGGAAGCGGTGCTTAAAGTATCTACTTTTCGGGCTCAAGCTTGATCCACTTCACCTGCCCCTTCTTGGAAGCTGACTTGACCTGCTTGGGTTTGGTGTGCGCCTCTGGGTTCTCTAAGATCCATGCAAATATAGCGGTGCAGTTTTGCCCGAACAGGCCCATCCCCTCTCGATCAACCAGAATGAATGACTGACCCCACGGTATCGCATCGCAACTCACCTGATGGCGCTCCCTGTTCTGCGGCAGCCACATAAACTGCTCAGGATTGGACGGCGGTGGAAAAAATTGGAGCCCCATGGTATTGCCTCGTGCGTCCTTGATTTGACGCACCACAGCCACCTGAATGCATTGCACAATGTCCACCTCGCCAAGAAGCATTCTAACCCCACAGCTCGAACTCTTTCTGGTGGCCGCTAGAGCCACCCGCCCCCGACGGGCACACCGGGTAGTTCTAAGTTCCCAATTCTTCCCTTCGTGCAATATCTTAGAGATCCATTTCTCATGTATGAGCAGAGCTCGATCAACGGTCATGGCAGGCCCACCCCACTTGCATACAAAAAACTTGTTGGTCTTTGAGCCACATCATGACAACAGCTAATCTTTGGTTAGCAAAAAAGTTGCTTCGCCTTTCACATCAACGCCATCATCCCTGCGTCCGTTGAATGAAAAGCTTTTCCAAAGCCTCAGCCCGCACAATTTCCCAGTTGAGCACTTTGCGCCACTGGCTTCTGTGTCCGAAATGGCTTCTGTGTCAAAAACCCGCAGTCAGTGTCATTGCTGCATTTTCGTTCCATCTCTAGAACTTCAATTACATCGAACATAGTGAAACCTACATGGAACCCAACCATAACACTCACAACCGTAACAGCAAGAGACAGCATTAAGCTTGATAGGTCAAAGCAAAAACACCCTGCTGCTCATTAATGGCTTACTCCCTCCCTCCCCCCCTCCGCGCTGTACTTGCACACACCGTCCGAAGTGTCCAAAGCAAGGTTGGATCAGACACTTCCTTTAACTATATAAAACCTACTTCCTATCTATTTTTTGATCAGTATTAAATAGGAACAAAATGCTGCCCTTTTTTTTGCGGACACGTTTAGGGTTTAGGGTTTGGTTGCAGCGCTGCAAACCATGCCCCAAAGTTTGCCAGACCTACCAGGACCAACTGAAAGCGCCAAGCCCCTGCACTAATTCCTATTCAAATTGAAACCTCAACCAGTGTCCAATCCAAGGTCGGATTAGACACTGAACCCATATTTAAAAATAGAACGATAATATTTTTTCAATCAGAGATATGGGCCAACAAACACACATGTTGGAGTAGTGTCCAATCCAACCTCGGATCCGACACTTCTGAACCAAACTCCACAATACAGGTTCAGTGCCGGATATTCTTGTTTTCTCCAGTTCAGAAGTGTCGGATTTCTTCCGCTAGAATACCATAGCCATTTCCCAGAATTGGTTCTTCCCCTAAAAGACTATAGAGTTAATTGATGCAATCCTTTGGAAGTGTCGCATTCTTGGCCACACGCATTGTATGAAGTGTCGGGACTTTGGGCGGTTTACGGTGGAGAAGTGTCGGATATTCGATCACCATCGTGTACAAAAGTGTCGGATTTTCAGCAGTCTCCATTTCTAAAAGTGTCGGATTGTCATTCCTAATCTATGGACATCAGTGAATCTCAGGAAACCCTTTACAAGTCACAACCTAGATAGGTTGAGAGGCCACTTATTATATAACGCCATGTGGCCCTGGGAAACCACGCAGCGCTTGATTCCGGCCTTGGGTGGGCTATTGTGTGGGTAAAACCAAAAAGGATTCCAATACCAGAGCTAAGCTTGAAATGGGCACCATAGCAGCACCAAATCAGAGCCTGCTGAGCAAGCAACCCTTAGAAACCAACACCCGGATCGAAAACAGGTGTCCGGAACAGACTGTTTTTGAGCGAGTAAGAGGAATTTTCCGGACACCTTCTTCGCTCACCCTGAAAGGGATTTGGCCGTGTTGAAAATTTGGGACGCCGGAAATGAAGGAACATCACATGGAGCGTTGGCTCAAATGAAGTAAATGCCGCAATGCCACTTTCAAACATTCCGCCGAGCCCTTCCTTTTGGAAGAGGCTTGGCCTTCGCTTCAGCCTTCTTCAAGGCCTTTTCAGATATGTCGAGCGCCTCCGCCCAAGGCACGCCTTTACTCCAAGCATGCGCTGCAGATTCAAGTACAATTCGCTCCTTTGCGAGACCCACATAGACCCGAGCGTGCTTGCGATCATCCTTGCCAACACCCAACCTGGAGCACACTCACATCAGGCAAACCCCCATGAAACCTTATTGGTTGCTTGCTGTTGGGTTGAGCCCGCTGGCGGAAAGAAAATAGAAATGATCCAAATGTGAGACGAGGAGCTCAAGTAGATTACTTGGCCGCTCAAAGTCCTGCGCAACAGGGCCATCTCCAGGACCACCAAACGTTCTGATAGCACACCTCACACTGAATACGGCGATGGCTTGCTCACACAAAAGAGGAGCAACAAAAACTACAAAATTTAAAACATGTCTTGTGAAGAGTGCCCTTTGTATCAAACAAGGAACGCGCTGGCATCCAACAGAGGCTCCAAAGGAAGCTTGTCCAACACCCAGGCCTCCATATATTCCGCAGCTTCAAACATTTTGAAGCTCTTCATCACCGGCACGTGCTTGAGGATCTGGTCCCTCGTTTTTTCATCGATCACATTCCTCTCAGCGATGCCTCCCGCAACGCACCGCGACCCCCGAACATTAAAGGCATAAGCTGAATACAGGGAACCTGCCAACAAGATAACGGCCCACCCTCGAACTTCAAAAAGACATCAAAACCAACCCAAAAACGACAGTAAATTTAGCTCAAACTGCGGAATTGTCGAACATGAGCAGTATCCGGCGCAATGGTGGCTAGGTCCAATCATTTCCATTTCCCGCCCATTGAGTCGGAAGTGGCTTCCAATTGTAAAAAAGGGCTGACCCGTAACAAACAGTGTTTTTCAACCGCGCAGCTTTTCTTCCCCTGACGCCTGCAGGAAGACCAATAGGCAAACGTGCTTTGGCTACTTCACGTGGAAAGTACACTGCGCCGAAGTTGTATGTTGTAGTTGCCATGTAGCGTCGCGTCCTCAGTGAGCTCAGCTGGTGAAAAGCAACTTTACCTTCCAGTGGGCAGAACTTCACGATTGATAACCTAGGGCCAACAAAGAATTGAAACAATGAAAAGACATCCACGGCTCTCCAAAAATCGGTGCTAGGTGGGACTAAATTTAGCTTCCGATTTAGAGTGGCCCTTTCCATTGCACAGCCAAAGCTCCGAAGAATTACATCATCTCTGTGAGGTGGCAGCCCCCAATATCTATCAGTAATGGGCAGGCTACCTTCGCCCGTTGGAACCTCAGACCTGCGGTCCAGTTCAAAGCAATGAGGAGCACCGGGACCTCCAATTCCTCTGAGATTCACTGGAACACCTTGAGATAGAAATCCTTTCCTGGGATTGAGAGCCACAATGATTTGACCAAAAACCAACAACCAACAAGCTAGCTGTTCCAGCCAGTCCCAAAAAAACTCACAGGGGAAACAACGTTAAAGCCACACACATCACTTGCAAGCAAACCACCAATCCCGACACTGGTCCACCTGAACCGCATAGCGACCCTTCTCGTGAACTCGCGTCACCCCATCTAGCCAATCCTGTATGATTGTACGAAATTCGGGAGGGCCAACTGCCTTCCGAGCTCTCTTTGCAAGATGAGATGCAAGCAGGCCAAAAGCCTGATCCACGTCTTCATGGGAGTGCCCGCTACGGAGGTTCCGTAGGCGGGCAGCATGAATGATTCCTTGAAGGCGGGGCAGACACACGAAATCTTTCACAGCAAAAAGCAACACAAACATGGGCGCAAGACCCACACATCTAGGGATTGACCCTCGATCCTACAACACACAAGTCAACGCGAGTCAAATTATGGCTCTTTAGGCGAATACAACCACAAGGATTCAATCAGCGTCCAGGTTCTGTGGCTTACTAAACTTGCGAGGAACCGGATGTATGGGTTGTTTTTAACTTCCCTGGCAGTATTGTCTGATTGGATGTTGAAGGTGAGCTTGCTGATGTCCATT